ACTACCTCTCTCTCTCTCTCTCTCTCTCTCTCTCTCTCTCTCTCTTCAATGGTATTAGGTTGTTAGGCCTCATGATACTTTTCATTTGCAGAGATGGTGGGGGAGACCAAAATTAGCTTCAAATTCTTTAGTCACAGCTCTGGGTGCTAAGCATTCAGTGACGCTCACTAGGTTTTGCATAAGAGCAGGACCCAAGAGGATATCTTTTGGCAATGACTGCAGAAGAGCCTTGCAGGCTGGAGTTGATAAGCTCGCTGATGCTGTCGCTGTAACCTTAGGACCCAGAGGTCCGCAAATATAGTCTCTCTCTATATCTCTCTTATTTGTTCATCTCTCCTCAATTTAGTGATAATTTCATTGTATAAATATAATACTTTCTCTCTCCTATTCACTTAGTTTTTATTGCCTCATATTGAATATGGTAAATTTCCATCAGTCTTTTTCATTCAGCCATTAATGCATGATTGCAACTTGTGAGGCCTTATTTGGTGGATGATGCATTTGTACACCTCCATTAGAGGAGGATTCGTTCCTTAATTTTTGCTTATGGCACCAGCAAAAGTGCATTACAGTTGTGTACACAGCAAGGCAGCAAATACAAAACCATCTTTTCTATTTCACTTTCCCCGTCGTAATTAACAAAAGTGGATTTCTTGATATTGTGATTGTGCATTTTGTTTAGCCATATCCATATGTATTGAGTATGGGCTGCACAAAGTGCTTAGCTGTTGAGTTTCAATGTCCTATAATCACTGTAAGTTTGGTTCCCTGTCTGATTGGTGCGTGATGACGGTGTTTTCTTGTACATATAAGAAAGAGCTTATAAAATGTGCTTGAACAATTGCTTTGTGAAGCTGATCACATGTTCTCCTAACAGTTGCAATTCAGTTTTCTTACCCCTTTTTTCATAGAGAAATGCATGTAAACGGTTTCTTCACTATGGCTAGTTTTTGAGCTGGTTGCTTTGTAGGGAGCTGCTCTTTTGGTTGATTTATTTGTGTTTTTCTCTAAGGAACTCATGTGTGGAGAGTCTCACAGCTCTTTCACTATGCTGCTCTGTTTTGAATTGATCATGGATTACCTATTGAAACTTGGCATGATATAGGTAAAAGGTAAAACTGAATGACATTGTCAAAGCTCCTGTTTGTAGTATGGATCCTAACTACCAAGAGGTGCTCTTACGATACTTTCCACTGTGGAACTCTATTATGAAGAGATGGTTATAGGGGCTTCTCTTTTGCATGGTATGAGGTTGGATTGCCCTTTTGAAAATGGAGTCCTATGTTTGTGAGGAGGATCCACTAATCAAGGCTACACTGGCTACTTCAATACCTAAAACCATTTTTTTTATTATTGAATATATTAGAGGGTGCAAATATTCTCCTTGATATGATCTATTCTTGTGCCTAGCTACTCAATTTTTCCACTTATCATAAATAAATAAATAAATAAATAGAAAACTATTCCACTTAGCTAACTATAAAAACAAAAAAAACAAAAAAATCTTTTTGTTGATTGTGCAGTTTGGGTCATCCGTGAATCATGAATTTGGATTGAGGGAGATTCTCAAGGCGAATTGATATGGATTCATCACCATTGTTATGATTGAAATATTTTTTAATATTCTTACTACACCGAGCAGTGTTCAAAAACTCAACTTAGCCAAGGTACTAGGCCTTTGGCCGCATTGAGTGACCCGGGCGAGTCTGAATGGACTTACTCAAGTCCATTACAGGGCAAAAAAGACTTAGAATTTTTTAAAAAATATAATGAAGGTAGTAAAAGTAAAATAAAACTAAAAGCAACCTTAAAAAAAGTACAAATAAGATTAAAACAAGTATACAAAAAATGATAAAGAAAAAGCTGATTTAAGGATGGGAAGATTTTAAATTAAAAAAATCCAAAAAGAATGGAAACTATAGAAATGGGGATTATGGAAAAACCATTCACCAATGATTTCTAAAAACATCTTAATCATATAAAATCTTTCCCTTAAACTTTAAAGGGTGGGGGCCTTAAACTTTTCGTAACCTGTCCCAAGTCCGGGTAAAGAAGGTGGGTTGCGTTAGGTAGGCAACCAACGTAAAACTTTGCCACATCTTTATCATGAATCTTGAACTTATGGAGAAGAATCGAGGAACATGATTCATGTAGCTGACCCCAAATAATTGGGATGAGGCTTGGGTGATGATAAAGATGATGATCTAAATCATATAAAAAAATTATGCACCGTTAAATATATTTTTTACAATTTTTTATTGTTTTAAATTTTTTATGTGAAATGAAGTGTAAACACAGATTGGGGCTACCCGAGTCCAAGTGGACTCCGTTGAGTCACAGAACACTGCTATTGAGTTGCAGCTACACGTGGAAGGAGCAAATAGAATCATATAACTAAGGGGTACTGCTCTAAAAAGTAACCAAGTATACATATATGGTCAATATATACAATGGCAGGTCCTGCTTTAGAGACACAAGGGCAGGGAATCCAGAACCCCAAATGTCATAATGAACTAACTCAAAAACACTTTGACTTTCCAATGTCAATAATATGTTAGGCAAGAGAAATTGTTTTGTCAACTTGTAACTCTTTGAAACTCAATCGCCATCTTGACAACAACAAGATAAAGGGACTAACTCTATTAAACCTAAACAAGGTAGCTAAAATAAGCCATTGAGAGATTGGGTACCCCAAATGTCAAAGGCACTGGTCCCAATGATGATTGGTTTATTGTAGTTTTTACATTATGGAGCAATTTTACGTCTAATTTAAGCCAATCAAAGCATCAACCTTGTTCAGAAACCATATCAATTTCCCATTGTCAAGGAACCATTCATTCTTTCAGCTTTTGAAAATTTGGATATGAGGGAATTGGTTCAACAATCAAATGATTCTTAAATTAAAAACCAAATATCACTTGAATGAAATCATAGTTAACAAAGTCCAAACTGCAACATAGTCTGTATATTTTGAGAATGTTAACTTGTATTAAGTATATTGATCTTTACAAAAACATTACAAGAGTAGCAAAAAACAAAAAAGCTGGACTGATGCGTCTAGGTTAGGTTGGACTGAGCCCCCTCCTTAGCCAGTGCATCAGCCGAGAAATTTGATTCCCTAAAAATGTGGTTCCAGGAAATGATGAGGTTTTTGGAAATTTGGCCAATCTCCTTGAAAATGTGGTCTAGTCTCCACGGGCAAGACGGGGGATTGGAGGCCCATGATATGACATTTCTTGAATCTCTTTCCACCGAAAGCCTAGATCTCCAAAGAGGGTTAAACTTGCAAAGGCCCTCTAAAAGAGGTAGAGCGTCAGCAAGATCGAGTCGTCTACGCCAATCCAGCGGGAGAAAGAGAAAAGAGTGCTGCCATCGTGTGATCTCAAAATGCCTCCTATACCACAAGGTCCTGCATTGCCTAAGGAGCAACCATCAAAGATTAACTTCGGAATCAATGGAAGATGATTCACTTCGGAAAATTCTGTTGTTCCTTTTGATCCACAGTACCCAAATAATGGCAGCAACAGAAGCTTTCCACAGAATGCAGCCTCTCTTAGAGCATGGTGGGGAAAGGAAAGCCGTGAAGAGCTGAGGGATGGACTGAGGAAGCTCCCAGAACCAACTGAAAAGATGGAGAATAAACTTCCACAATGCACTTGCCACATCGTAGTGGAGAAAAAGGTGATCATTAGATTCTTCAGCTGCTCTGCACATAGTACATCTAATAGGCATAGGTAATCCCTTGTTTTGAATCTGGTCAATGGTTAGGACTCTCTCGTAGAAGGCCACCCAGCAGTGCAGTTGGATTCGAGGAGGGATAAAGGGAATCCAAGCTTTGGAAGCAATAGGGTTGGGAAGGAGAGAAGGGCTAGAGTGCGAGCTAAGAGCACAATAGAAGAAGATATCAAGAACATGCCTGAAGGAGCTGGAGTTCAGATGATCTTGTCTTTGCTAGCTTCTGGGAGGAACACTGAGTGCATTAGTTCCGCCATATTCCCAAATTCTTGGAGTTCCTGGTCTAATAGGGGCCTCCTAAAGATGGGTGTCCAAGAGCTAGAAGATCCTGCCGAGGTAAAGTTCTCAGCCACCAGAGATAGAGGGTCAGACGCCAGAGAAAAGAGATTAGGAGAGATCCTTAAGAGGGCAGTGGCCCTTTTGAGCCAAAATTTAACTTTAATCCCTATCCTTGGCCGAAAGCAAATGTTATGCAGGAAGAGCTCTCTGGTGTGGAGTAAAGACCTCCAGAAACCAGAATGTGGCTGCTAAGCCTGCATCTTGGAGTCCAACTGTTGCTGCCAAAACAGTACTCGTGAATAAGTTCCCTCCAAAGGTGGTTTGGCTGAGTAGCATAACACCACTACCATTTTCCCGAAAGGGTAGCATTATGAACTCGTAACCTGCGGATTCCAAGTCCAAGTCCTCCAAGGGCTTTCGATCTACAAAGCTTGGGCCAAGAGATGAGATGGCATTTATTGTCGTTGTCCCTGGACCAAAAGAAAACTCGTCGCATTAATTTTTCCAATCGGGTTGCGACAGAAGCCGGGATATGAAAAGGGACATTTGATAAATAGGGGTGTTGGCAAGGGTTGCCTTGATAAGGGTGAGCCTACCCGCCTTAGAAAGGAAACACCATTCCAACTCGCAAACCTTCTATTGAATTTGTCCAATAATTGACTCCAAAGGAATTGGCGAGGCATCCCTAAACACAGGAGGAGACCGACGTATGAAGAGGGAAGAGACTCAACCGAGCAACCCCATTTTGCTGCCATGGCTTGGACAAAGGATGGGTCAGTGTTAACACCCATCAATTTAGATTTACCAAAGTTAACCTTGAATCGAGTGGCCAACTGAAAGCATCTCAAGAAAAGAAGAAGAGCATCAACCTGTTGGCAGGTAGCATAACAGAAAACTAAGGTGTCATCTGCATATTGAAGATGCGAGATGATGGGACTAGAGGAGCTGGATTGTAACCCCCTCAAAATCCCAAGATGGTATAGTCTAGAGATGGATTGACTGAAGACTTCGGCAGCAAAGCAAAGGGGAAGGGTGAGAGTGGATCCCCTTGGTTCTGGAGGCAGGTAAGAAGCCCTTCGGTGATCCATTGTTCAAAACTGAAAACATAGAAATGGAAATACAGCCGTACACCCATTTAAAATATTGTGTTTCGGGGACATAGTCTATATATTTAAAATATTGTGTTTCAGGGACTGATTTCTGGAATCTAGACAAAATCTAGGAACCTGCTTTGAATTTCAGAAACAGTTCACTGTTTATACTATTGACAAAAATTGTCTGACCTTTCCTATTCAACACCAAAAGATTTCTCCAATTTTGGAGGGTGTAGTATACTCTAAAACATCCTTTCATGTCACATATGCTATGGAGGACATGTGGCAGTTTTGGTCCTATTTGGATTCTCTACATAATCCTTAAATTTGGATAGAAGTTGAGACTAATGATAGCTGATAGGACAAAGACCATGGTGGATGGAGGTTTTCTCATTTCGAGGGGTGCTCTAAATGCGGCAGCTCCCAAATGTTTTTCTCTCCTTGTTTTTTTCTTCTTTTTTTTTTCTTTTCCCCCTTGGCATTGAATTTCACAAACAAAAAAGGGAAAAACAACGCCCTTTGATCCCTCTCCATTGTAATCCCGTCAATAAATTCGATTTTACCAGATGCATAGTGGACATGAGCTATATGGACCTGGCTGAAAATATTTGGTCCTAGTTGTTTGATTCTGAGGTTCATTCCCCTAAGATTTGTACAATTTTTAATGATTTGGTTATATAGCACTTCTTATGGTAACTTAATTTTGGTATGATGTTAGATATGGCATAAAACTACCATACTAGATTTTGCATGCATTTAGGGACGTTTTAATCCATGCGAAATCTCTTTACAGGAGGGAGATCTGTTGAACGAACCACTATCCCATGTTTGTTTCATGGGAAAGTGGTACCTAGGAAAGCGCAAATTCACTCCACTTTTAAAAATTGGCAGCATTTCATGGGAAAGCAGCTTCATTCCTTGCAAGTTATTTAGTCAGTTTCACGTATATCCCCCTCCTTGAGAAAGATTTCCCACAAACCAAACATGCCTCTAAGGTTATGAAATCCTTTATGGTATCATGGGAAGCATGCATCCGTTTTTTCTTTTTTTGTTTTTTGGTCAAGGTATGCCCTTGTGCTTCTCTGTGCCAGTGTATATTTCCTGTTGACAATTTTTGAGCTATTTATTGTTGAAATGTTTAGGCAATGCTCCGCCAGTCAGCTATAAGGTCATTTTTTTGTTTTACATAAATGGTGGGCCTTGGAATGTTCAGATTTCACAAGAAAAATGGACATTTGGCTTTAAGGCCGTCCATAGTAGTTTGTTAATCTTTGAAATTTATATGGTTTTTGTTTGCAAACTGTCATCTTCATGAGTACACCCTAAAATTTAAATGTATGTGCAAATTTAGTCAGCAATTGTGACTGGAAGTTGTTTTTTAACTTTATTGGAAGGCACGTTGTTTTCTGAGGAACTTTTGAATCTTAATTGAACCTTGTAGAATTGTTAATCAGAGATACTTAAGTATTATTGCATTTCAAGGTACAAGTTGTAATTATGTGATTCCGTAGAATTTTTTCTCTGGTTAACTTTGTTTACTGTCAACATTGTCCTATTTGCATTGTATGCTGCTTGGACAGAACCTTTCTGTTTTTTTTTTTTTCTTTTTCCTTTCGAAGTTTGATAGGTTAAAACTTGAAGAGCAAATTCTGCAGCAGGTTGTACATTTTCAGTTTCTCTCACAAAAATGATTAACTCCTATGTGATTCAATAAACTTCCATGCAAATGATTGAAAAGACTTAAAAGTGTGCCTGTTCAAAGATTTATTTAGACTGGTTATATTTTGGAACATTGTTACTTTCCTTTTAATCTGCTTCTTCATTTGGTTGGTGAACCATTTAAGTTATTGATTCTACAGGGCGCAATGTTGTTCTTGATGAGGCTGGAATTCCGAAAGTTATCAATGATGGTGTAACAATTGCCCGTGCTATCGAGCTTCAAGATTCCATTGAAAATATGGGAGCATTGTTGATTCAAGAGGTCATATATGCCACTCACTATTCCAACCTTCAGAGTGCTTGATTCCTTAGTGAAAGTGTAATATAATCCTTTGGACTATGGAATATTTGAATCCATTGATTGACCACCAACAAATGAAATGGTGGATGGTGATGGAGAGAGTGAGATCCAACAATGGTGTCCTATCCTGTTGCATTGGATCCCACTCTCTCTCCATTACCATCCATTTCATTGGATGGTCATGATCCTGATGGATTTTGAGTATGCTATAATCCATTAGATTGTACTGAGCTTCCTTTTCCTTTTACTCAAAGTTTTGAGTCGCAGGTTGCTAGCAAGACAAATGATGCAGCAGGTGATGGAACAACCACTGCCATTATTCTTGGAAGAGAGATGATCAGACTGGGACTTCTGGCTCTTGCTTTGGGGGCAAATCCAGTTGCTTTGAAGAAAGGAATTGATAGGACTGTGCATGAGCTGGTCAAAGTGTTGAGGAGTAAGTGTAGATCTATAAAAGGAAGGGAAGATATAAAAGGTATCCTCCCATATGCCCAAAACAATTCCCTTAAGTTACTCATTTCTGATGCAGCAACTGTTTTAAAGTTGGGTTCCTAATTAGATAAATAATTTGCTCTATTTGCAGCTGTGGCATCGATCTCTGCTGGAAATGATGACGTCATTGGAAACATGATTGCTGAAGCTATCGATAAGATTGGTGCTAATGGAATCATCTCCATTGAATCGTCATCCTCTTTCGAAACCTGTCTTCAAATCGAAGAAGGAATGAAGGTGACCAAAAATCTTCCACTCTAATTGTGGTGAAACTGGGATTTTCCCTTTCTTTTGTGCCATTGAATATCTTATAAACTGTTGTTTCTTATGCAGATTGACAAAGGATACATTTCTCCTCAATTTATTACGAATCAGGAAAAATCTACTGTTGAGTTTGAGGATGCTAGAGTTTTGGTGACTGATCAGAAAATTTCAAATGTTAAGGATATCATTCCACTTTTAGAAAAAACGAGTCAGTTGAGTGTCCCACTACTGATAATTGCTGAGGATATTTCACATGGAGTATTGGCAACATTGATCACAAACAAAGTGCGTGGTGTTCTTAATGTTGCAGTCATCAAGGCACCTGGATTTGGGGAAGGAAAAAAGGCTCTTCTACAAGACATTGCTCTTATGACAGGTGTGGATTGTCTGGATTTCTTCTCACTCTAGTATAAGTTGGTCATTGAAAGTGTAGATCTAGGAATAAGTTCTTGCATCGGCAGGTTGTATCACCATCTCTCTAGCATATACATATAAGAATAGGTTATACAAAACAATGGAAGTCTCCCTTCTTTGTTTGTATTCACTATCAAAATTAATTTGGAGAGTCTGCAGATCATGGATATCTGGCTTTGACTCAAATTAGAGGACTTCTGATAGGATTAAGAAATTCTACAATCTCTAATATGGTTATGTTGACTTTTGCTGTTATCTCATGGTTTACATTCTCAACTCCTGCCACTCTTGTCTGATTGTGACATTTGGTTAACAACCTTAAAACAGGTGCAGATTTTCTTGCTGGTGACTTGGGCATGGCACTTGCAGATGCAACCTCAGATCAACTTGGCATTGCTCAAAAAATTACTATTACAAACAATTCTACAACAATTATTGCCGATCCAATCATGAAAGCGGAAATCCAAGCAAGGGTTGCTCAAATAAAGAAAGATTTAGCTGAGACAGACAGTGCCTACTTGTCGAGAAAGCTCTCTGAGAGAATTGCAAAGCTAAGCGGTGGAGTAGCTGTTATTAAGGTGAGCACATTCAATAAAGTTCCTCCTTTTGTTCCTTCACATGTATGAAATCGTGTGTCTAAAATGGAGTCTGAGATATTTAACATCCTGAAAGTTATCATAAGCCATTTGGGATCACTACGTAATGAAAAGAGATTATGTTGATGACACTTATTTGCTGGTTACTTTTCTGGATAAGTCAGTTTTCATTGCTTGTTTTGTGGCTTTTCTGAACTACATCCAACAATATGTATACGCTTTACTTTTGCCTGTGTTTCCTTTCCTAGATAAAAGACAAAATCATTGTTGCTTGCTGTATGTCTATGTATTATGTGTTTTAATGAAACTGATTTAACGTTTTGCTGTGAATTCTGAAGCAATGCACATGACATTTAGGTAGGGGCTCACACCGAATCCGAATTAGAGGAAAAGAAGCTGAGAATCGAGGATGCAAAGAATGCAACTTTTGCTGCCATAGATGAAGGCATAGCCCCAGGTGGTGGGGCTGTGTATGTTCACTTGTCCAAGCACATTTCTGATATAAAAGATGACATAAAGGATCCTGAAGAGAAACTCGGTGCTGACATAGTCCAAAAGGTCTCTCTCTCTCTCTCTCTCTCTCTCTCTCTCTCTCTACTACTACTACTATATATATATATATATATATATATATATATATATAGTATAGTATAGTACTAGTACTATACTACGTACTACTACGTACTACGTAGTACGTA